TTTGTCTCTTTGTCTCTGTCTCTTTGTCTCTGTCTCTCTGTCTCTGTCTCTCTGTCTCTGTCTCTGTCTCTTTGTCTCTGTCTCTTTGTCTCTGTCTCTTTGTCTCTGTCTCTTTGTCTCTGTCTCTTTGTCTCTGTCTCTTTGTCTCTCTTGTCTCTGTCTCTCTCTCTCTCTTTGTCTCTCTCCTCTCTTTGTCTCTCTCTCTCTCTTTGTCTCTCTCTCTCTCTTTGTCTCTCTCTCTTTGTCTCTCTCTCTCTCTTTGTCTCTCTCTCTCTCTTTGTCTCTCTCTCTCTCTTTGTCTCTCTCTCTCTCTTTGTCTCTCTCTTCTCTCTCTTTGTCTCTCTCTCTCTCTTTGTCTCTCTCTCTCTCTTTGTCTCTCCCTCTCTCTTTGTCTCTCTCTCTTGTCTCTCTCTCTCTCTCTTGTCTCTCTCTCTCTCTCTTTGTCTCTCTCTCTCTTTGTTCTCTCTTCTCTCTCTTTGTCTCTCTCTCTCTCTTTGTCTCTCTCTCTCTCTTTGTCTCTCTCTCTTCTTTGTCTCTCTCTCTCTTTGTTCTCTCTCTCTCTTTGTCTCTCTCTCTCTCTTTGTCTTCTCTCTCTCTCTTTTTCTCTCTCTCTCTCTCTTTCTCTCTCTTTTCTCTCTCTCCTCTCTTTCTCTCTCTCTTTTCTCTCTCTTCTCTCTCTTTTCTCTCTCTCTCTCTCTCTCTTTCTCTCTCTTTCTCTCTTTCTCTCTCTCTCTCTCGTCTCTCTCTCTCTCTCTCTCTCTCTTTCTCTCTTCCTCTCTTTTGTCGTCTTTTCTCTTCTGCTCTCTCTCTTTTTTTACACAGATGACAGTCTAAGGTCCGCTTTATTGCAGTTTACAGGTTAAGGATTCCTAACTTTTGCAAGCTAAGAGCTGTTACCTACTTCAGCTCATTTGAAAGCATTTTTATTGTTATGAGACATACAAGTAGGGAACAGGATGAAATTGGAGCCATCTGTGGGCCAGCATTTTCATTTGATCAACTGACTTTATCTCGTTGACATTATTATGCTGTACGAATGTGTTCCATACTCGAGTCATCCTGGGTATATATGATCTCAGATGGAGTGACGTTCTGGAGAAGGGTACAGCCAGAGTGAAGTTGCTGCTTTCTGCCCGTCTTGTGGCATAAAAGCTTGTTTCACGCTGTCCTCGAAGTGGATCCAAGTGTGGTACTCTGACAATATTGGCCTTGTACATAACAGTAAGGCCACCCACATCCCTCCTATGTTGAAGGCTCTGCTGAAATGACAGATCTATCCAGGATGGGTCCAGGCGAGAGTTGAGACGTCTTGCTCTGTTCTCTACTATCAAGCAGTCGCAGATGAGAGGGGGGGGGGCAGGCAAACCAAGAAAGTGGAAAATACTCAAGGTGTGAGCGTACTTGTGCCTCGTACAGAATCTTGCAACCCCTACTGTCAAGTAGATGCGAGATACGGCAAAGTGCTGTAAGCTTCCTTGCTGTCTTGTTTGCAAGATTTACAACATGGTTCTTCATGGTTAGTTTGGAGTCAGATTTCACCCAAAGGATATCAACTCACTCTGTCTCTCTCTGTCTCTGTCTCTCTGTCTCTCTGTCTCTCTGTCTCTGTCTCTCTCTCTGTCTCTCTGTCTCTGTCTCTCTCTCTCTCTCTGTCTCTCTCTCTCTCTCTCTCTGTCTCTCTCTCTCTCTCTCTCTCTCTCTCTCTCTCTCTCCACTCTTCTCCAGGTGCATGCACGCTATTATGACCCACTTTTCACATCCGACCCTTATTTTAATCCACATAATCCTTTAATTTACACATTTATATTCCCTCTTCTCCTTCCATAACTGGTCCTTCAACATTATTGCTACCCCATCCTTAGCTCTAACTTTCTCAGATACTCCTGACTTAATCCCTTTTATTTCTCCCCACTGAAACTGGCCTACCCACTTCAGCTTTGTTTCACTTAGGGCCAGGACATTCAACTTCTTTTTATTCATAACATAGCAATCATCTCTTTCTTATCATCCGCACTACATCCACGCACATTCAGGCATCCCAGTTTTATAAAGTTTTTCTTCTCATTTTAGCAAATGTGTACATGAGAAAGGGTTACTAGCCCATTGCTACCGCCATTTTAGTCGCCTCATACAACATGCATCGCTTACAGAGGAAAGATTCTTTAACCCTTCCCCATAGAGAATAGAAAGAGAAAAATAAACAAGTGCTCTTAAGAAAAAGAAGAAAAACCCTAGATGTTTGTATGTGTATATATATGCATGTGCATGCCTGTGTAGTGTGACCTAAGTGTAAGTAGAAGTTGCAATATATACCTGTTATCCAGCGTGTTAAGGAGACAGAAAAAAGACACCAGAAATCCTACCATCATGTAAAACAGTTACAGGTTACTGTTTCACAGTCACCTGGGAGGACGGTAGTACCTCCCTGGGTGGTTGCTGTCTGCCAACCTACTACCTATTTTTGTGCTATTCCATTCTGTCAAGTGAGACCAAGAAACCGTGAATACAACCATAAAAACCATATGAAAATACACTGCAAAATCGCTGTTTTAAATAAAAAATACGGTCGCAGTTTTTTCTTATCATGCACTGCATGCTGCGGGATTTTTTATATGGTACACATTTAACACACAGACCGATTCTCTCATATCTAGGCTCAAATTTACTGTTCTCAGCTTGTCTGAGTTAGTTGAGCTCGTGGCATAAACTGTATAATCCTATGGCGTAAACTGTATAATCTTATGGCGTAAACTGTATAATCCTGTGGCGTAAACTGTATACTCCTATGGGTTTAGTACTCCTCCATGATTATAATATAAGTCATTTTGAGCTTTACTGTCTGCATGTTTGGCAAGACAGTGATAGAATGGGTGATGGCGAAAGTGTTTCTTTTTAGGTCACTCAGTTTTGGTGGGAGATAGCTGATGTGTTTAAAAAAAAAAAACTAAATTAGAGAACAGTAATATTTGTAGGTCAGCTAGGAACATTCACAATTTCACATTGGAATTTGTGTTAGAAAGTTAAAGCTAGTAAAATGAAGGTAAGTTTATGAGGGAAGGTATAGAGAGAGAGATTGTAGGCAGTTATTACAAGTGTGTGAGAACATAGTATTCCTGTGAACAGTGGACACAATTTGTTTATATGGAAGCTGTTTATTAGTCATGAATGGACACTTGAAAATTTAACAATTAACCCTTTCGGGGTTTCGGCCGTACTAGTACGGCTTACGCGCAGGGTTTTTGACGTACTAGTACGCATAAATTCTAGCGCCATCAAATCTAGTGAGAGAAAGCTGGTAGGCCTACATATGAAAGAATGGGTCTATGTGGTCAGTGTGCGCAGTATAAAAAAAATCCTGCAGCACACAATGCGTAATGAGAAAAAAACTTTGACCGTGTTTTTGGATTAAAACAGCAACTTTGCACTGTATTTTCGTATGGTATTTATTGTTATATTCTAGTTTTTCTGGTCTCATTTTATAGAATGGAAGACATATTACAGAAATTGAGATGATTTTGATTGGTTTCACAGTGAAAAGTACCTTGAAATTGAGCTCAAAGTACAGAAATGTTCGATTTTTACCAAAGATCGAAAGTAAACAAATCATGCCAAACGTCCAATAGACGTCAACTGGCGAGTCTAATATTCTTTCACAAGTGCACTGATATTATTTATACCATTTCTACACTAATGCAGTAGTCTGCATAACAGTAAATCTTCTATTTTTTGTGAGAATAAAAATTCAAAGTGGAAAGCAAAAGAATGTAAGAGGGGCGTGGTAATGTGACTAATGAACAGAGGAAATGTTATTTTAGTGCCAGGAATGTCTTTCTTGTTTATTCTGGACCCTGTTTAGAAATTAACATCTTTTGAAAGTTGTGTGAGATTGGCAAAATTTCTGAATTCTGACCACTGTATTGGATAGTTGAAATCGGTAAATGGGTGGTTTCTTGTACTCATTTGATAGAAAAAATGGAGTTCTAGCGAAATAGTTATGATTTTTGTTGACTAGTACACTGGAATTTCCGAAAATAGGGCTCAAAGTGGGCAAAATCACCGATGCGTAAACATCATCGAGACCGCTAACTTTGTGAGAGCATATTTCCATAAGTTTTCCATCAAATTTTATACTTTTGGTGTCATTATGATCGGGAAAAGATTCTCTGTCTTTTCATAAGAAAAAATAATTTTTTTTTTTTTTTTTTTTAAATTTGGCCGACCCTGAGAACAAGTCTCTGAGAGGACCTGCCGACCCCCAAAGGGTTAATATACACAGCAATTTTCTCTTATGTACAGTAATATGCCTTGTAGTTTTAAGTTAGGCTTAATCTTGCCCAAAATGCACTGCATAGCTATCAGCTTGTAACGTGCATGCGTGTCGCCCATTTCTGTATAAACTATGTTTTTTTTTTTTTTTTTTTCAACAAGTCGGCCGTCTCCCACTGAGACAGGGTGACCCAAAAAAGAAAGAAAATCCCTAAAAAGAAAATACTTTCATCATCATTCAACACTTTCACCACACTCGCACATTATCACTGCTTTTGCAGAGGTGCTCAGAATATAACAGTTTAGAAGCATATACGTATAGAGATACACAACATATCCCTCCAAACTGCCAATATCCCAAACCTCTCCTTTAAAGTGCAGGCATTGTACTTCCCATTTCCAGGACTCAAGTCCGACTATATGAAAATAAACTATATAAATAACTATAAACTATATAAATAAACTATGTATCATGTTGAAACAAACCTGTATTTGTATTTAAATGTGTTGACAGCTGATTGTTTAGTCAGTGTGCTGTGACACGCACAAGTGCTGTGAATTGTTAAAGGGACTTTTTTTATGGAAAGTCTCATCATAGTTCCTATAATAGGATAATGGTTCTGATTATAAAAAGTAGTTTATAATTAATGTCAATAAAGCTCACTTTAGCTCTGAAAATATAAGCAGCTTCTATTGAGTATGAAAAAGATATTTTTTATCTTTTGCTTTTACAGGGGAGAAGTCAATGGAGCAACTGGTACCTTTCCGCGTAGCTTTGTGGATGTTCTAGAAGAAACGTCGGTGCCTTTATCAGCTGCTGTGTATCCAGAGGAGAGTAATCCTTTACCTTTTAGTATAGTCCCATCAGATACCCCTGAACTGAGTGCTGATTTTGCACTGCAGGACATGACACGTGCTTCTCTGCCATTTTCAGACCTCAAAGTACCAGTGCCTAGTGTAGAACACATTGCTCCTGCCACAGATTACTCTTTGCCTGATTCAGGTATTCGTTCTACTGCTGCAGTTTGTCAGCCAGTAGAACATATTTTTGATGCTCCAGTAACTCTGTCCAAAACTTCATCTTATTGGAAGACAGTTGGCAATATTGATGATGCTGACATTTTTGATGATGACTACTTTAAGAAAAATATGCCTTGTATGTTTTCATCTTCCCAAGGAAGTGGAAATGCATCTACAAGTCATGCTAATGGTACATGCTTAATTACCCCATTCATAAGCCAAGCCAGTGCCTCGCCTTTTTCCAGTTTGAATTATAGATATGAAAATATTGACGAGTCTCCAGTCCTTCCAGACAAATCTTTTAATGATAGGTCAGCACTTACAAGTGAAATAACAATGGGGGCAGATACAGTATCTTCGAAGGCAACTGATATAAACCATAGGTATGAAAATATTTTGCCAGCTAATTCACAGCCAGTTGTCATTGATGGAGCCATTCAGTCAGTCACAGATTCTGTGGATGTCTGTGAGGATGAACCTAAACCAAGTGCCTTTTCAAGTGTCCCAGGAATGGAGGATGTCAGTGCGCTCAATTCCTTATCACAAAAAGTAGATGACTATTTTTCAAAAAATCTGTTAGAAGATGGGGATAAGCAAACATGTTCAATGAATAAGAACTCTCTAATTCAAGATTTTAGTAAACTGTCTTCTGGTTATAATGAGGACAACACTGGTATAGAACCATATGGTCGGGCATTGTTTTCCTTTAGGGCTCAATATCCAAATGAATTGACTTTCAAAAAGGGAGATATTGTCCACCTTCTAAAGCATGTAGATTCTCACTGGACTTTAGGTACAGTCAGAGGCTCTAAAGGAATATTCCCCACTTCTTATGTTGATATTATTGTAGATTGTCTTTATAATGAAGAAGAATTATTTTTAGCTAGATCTGAAGCAGTATTACAGGTAAAATACTTGGGCTATGCTAGAGCAGAATTTGATTTCCATGCTGTGGAGCCTGGTGATATGTCCTTGGCTAAAGGAGACATTCTCAAGGTTTTAAAATATGTTGATAATAACTGGGTTATTGTAGAAAACATAACTGGTTCGAAGGGTATGTGTCCCCAAAATTATTTGTCTATCCCCACTGAAGGTGTCTTGGTGACTCTGGGGAACTTAATGCTCAGACAACAAACTCTTGTACAGAGACAGCTACCAAAAGAGAATCAAGGCTACCTGTTAAAGATGCTCAGCATGATCGATCGAGAAGTTCCTCTCCATTCAGCCCATCTGGGTATAGACGATCTTATAATAAGAATGATTTTGGGTCTATAAAGAAACAAGAAGTAGACCCTGTGTTGGCTAAGACTGTAGCTTCCTTAGATATTACCTTAAGAAGTAATGTAGGTCAGCCAGATAAAAAGGGCAGTGAAAGTATCTTTACAAAGAGGGAGGTTTGTCCCTCAGAAATAAATGACCAGCCTGCTATTGAGGAGGAGCCAGTGGAATCCATAGTTACAGCTAGCCTAAGTAAATTATCTCTTGCAGATGTTGCTGCTAATAATTGTATATCTGAGTCTTCTCAGGAGACTCAAAGAATATTGACTTCAGTCTCTCAATCTTCTAACACAACAGTGTCTTCTAGTACAACCAGTGCTCTCAAAACCTCATCTCTAGCAGTATCTCAAACTGCCTCAGGGACGACAGTTTCTAAACCTCCAGCTGTAGCTCCAAGGTCTCTGAATATACCTCCAGTACCCCCAAGAACAAAAGTTTATAGAAGTGACTCCTCAAAGTCTATACCAGAACCAACAGCTATTGTGACAGCAGCTAATTCCAAAGCTGGAGAAATAGTAGACGGTGTCAAAACTGGAGAGACCGTTGCAAGTGTACCAGTAGCTAAACCACCACGGCAGCTTAAAAGGCTCTCCAAATCTGATCCTGTTTCACAAGAACCAGTTTATGCTAAAGTACAGAAGCCTCGATTAGCAGCTAAGCCATCATTGAAAACTTGTCAACGAAAGAGTGTGGATGAAACTGGTGCAGCTAAAGCTTCTCTAACTCGAAGTGATAGTGCATCTTTCCCAGATGATGTCTCTAGGGTTTCAACTAGTAGTGAAGGAATTTACTCAACAGGTATGTGCTGCATGTAATCTACTTTATACTTTTAATTACTTTAATACATCTTGCCTGAAAAAGCTAGTATGATTATTTTTTACTTCAGTTTAAAAACTGTAGTGTAAAGCACCCTTCTGGCAAGACAGTGATGGAGTGAATGATGGTGAAAGTTTTTCTTTTTCGGGCCACCCTGCCTTGGTGGGAATCGGCCAGTGTGATAATAAAAAAAAAAAAAAAATATTCTTAAACTTGATGTGGTAAATAGGAGTAATTGCTTTTGCTTCTTGTAAGCTACCTTTCCCTTCTTTTTCTATCTCGTGTCTCTATGTGGGATGCCCTGATCTGAAGAATTGGAATTACCCTTAGATCAAACCTGATTATCTCCCATTTTCCTAGGCACTGTATGATCCCTATGAGTTTAGCAGTTCTTGTGAATGTAATAAAATAGCTGACATATTTTATATATGCAGTGTTTTCTAAGCAGAAACTGTTGATAAATGTTTAATCTTTTATGTAATCAGGAAAAATCTTGGATGAAAATGTTTGAAGATGATATAGCTAATAACTAATGGGCTTTTAACCCTTTCAGGGTTTCTGACGTACTAGTACGGCTTACGCACCAGGGTTATTGATGTACTAGAACGCCTAAATTCTAGCGCCTTCAAATCCAGCGAGAGAAAGCTGGTAGGCCTACATATGAAAGAATGGGTCTGTGGCCAGTGTGCACAGTATAAAACAAATCCTGCAGCACACAGTTTATAATGAGAAAAAAAAAAACTTTAATCGTGACTTTGCACTGTATTTTTGTATGGTATTTATGGTTTTATTCTAGTTTTCCTGGTCTCATTTTATAGAATGGAAGACATATTACAGAAATTGAGATGATTTTGATTGGTTTCACAATGAAAAGTACCTTGAAATTGAGCTCAAACTAGCAGAAATGTTTGATTTTTACCAAAGTTCAAAAGTAAACAAATCATGCCAAGCCTCCAATCATGCCAAGCTTCCAATACACATCAACTGGTGAGTTTAACATTCTTTCACAAGTGCGCTGATATTATTTATACCATTTCTACACTAATGCAGTAGTCTGCATAATAGTAAATCTTCTATTTTTTGTGAGAATAAAAATTCAAAGTGGAAAGCAAAAGAAATGTAAGAGGGGCCTGGGGACGTGACTAACAAACAGAGAAATTGTTATTTTAGTGCCAAGAATGTGTCTTGTTTATTCTGGATCCTATTTGGAAATTGGCATCTTCTGAAATTTGTGTGAAATTGGCAAAATTGCCAATTTCTAACCACTTTATTGGATAGTTGAAATTGGTAAATGGGTGGTTTCTTGTACTCATTTGATAGAAAAAATGGAGTTCTAGTGAAATAAATGAGATTTTTGTTGACTAGTACACAGGAAAATAGGGCTCAAAGTGGGCGAAATCACCGATGATGTAAACATCGTCGAGACCGCTAACTTTGTGAGAGCGTAATTCCGTTAGTTTTCCATCAGATTTTGTACTTTTGGTGTCATTATGATCGGGAGAAGGTTCTATCATTTCATAAGAAAAAAATAATTTATTTTCCGAAAAATTTTCAACACTGAGAACGAGTTTAGGAGAGGGCCTCTCGACCCTGAAAGGGTTAATTAACCCTTTCAGGGTCCAGAGGCCAAATTTCAAAGTGTGCACCAGGGTCCAAGAATTTAAAAAAAACAAATGTTATTTTTTCTTATGAAATGGTAGAGAATCTTTTTCTGAAGGTATGATATTTGATGGAAAATTTATGAAATTACCCTCTTGCGAATTTGGATGTGTCAGTGATATTTACGCATCGGCGATTTTGCCGACTTTGACTCCCATTTTAAGCCAATTACATTATTCCAGTCGACCAAATTCTTAGCTATTTCACTAGTATTACTTCTGTTCTATCGATTGAGCCAAAGAAATCGCCAAGTCAACTGTTTCGACTACATACAAAATAAAGTGATCGGAAATTGATAATTTGGCCAATTTAACAAAGTTCAAAATATTCCAATTTCAAAATAGGGTCTAGAATAAACAATGCAGGCATTTCTGGCACTAAACTAACATTTCCTCTGTTCATTAGTTACATCTGTAATATATCTTCCATATATATTAATTCTGTAATATATCTTCCATTCTATCAAATGAGACCAAGAAATCGCAATTTTTTTTTTTTCTTTTTTCAACAAGTCGGCCGTCCCCCACCAAGGCAGGGTGACCAAAAAAGAAAATACTTTCATCATCATTCAACACTTTCACCTCACTCACACATAATCACTGTTTTTGCAGAGGTACTCAGAGCACAACAGTTTAGAAGCATATACGTATAAAGATACACAGCATATCCCTCCAAACTGCTGATATCCCGAACCCCTCCTTTAGAGTGAAGGCATTGTACTTCCCATTTCCAGGACTCAAGTACGGCTTTATAAAAATAACCGGTTTCCCTGAATCCCTTCACTAAATATTACCCTGCTCACACTTCAACAGATCGTCAGGTCCCAAATACCATTCGTCTCCATTCACTCTATTGAACACGCTCATGCACGCCTGCTGGAAGTCCAAGCCCCTCGCCCACAAAACCTCCCTTACCCCTTCCTTCCAACCTTTTCAAGGACGACCCCTACCCCGCCTTCCTTCTCCTACAGATTTAAATGCTCTCCATGTCATTCTGCTTTGATCCATTCTCCCTAAATGACCAAACCGCCTCAACCCTTCTTCAGCCCTCTGACTAATACCTTTATTAACTCCAAACCTTTTCCTAATTTCCACACTCCGAAATTTTCTGCATAATATTTACACCACACATTGCCCTTAGACAGGACGACATCACTGCCTCCAACCGCCTCCTTGCTGCTGCATTCACAACCCAAGCTTCACACCCATATAAGAGTGTTGGTATTACTATACTTTCATACATTCCCTTCTTTGCCTCCATAGATAACATTTTTTGTCTCCACATATACCTCAACACGCCACTCACCTTTTTTCCCTCATCAATTCTATGATTAACCTCATCCTTCATAAATCCATCCGCCGACACGTCAACTCCCAAGTAACTGAAAACATTCACTTCTTCCATACTCCTCCTCCCCAATTTGATATCCAATTTTTCTTTATCTAAATCATTTGACACCCTCATCACCTTACTCTTTTCTATGTTCACTTTCAACTTTCTACCTTTACACACATTCCCAAACTCATCCACTAACCTTTGCAATTTTTCTTTAGAATCTCCCATAAGCACAGTATCATCAGCAAAAAGTAACTGTGTCAATTCCCATTTTGAATTTGATTCCCCAAAATTTAATCCCACCCCTCTCCCGAACACCCTAGCATTTACATCCTTTACAACCCCATCTATAAATATATTAAATAACCATGGTGACATTACACATCCCTGTCTAAGACCTACTTTTACCAGGAAGTAGTCTCCCTCTCTTCTACACACCCTAACCTGAGCCTCACTATCCTCATAAAAACTCTTTACAGCATTAAATAACTTACCACCTATTCCATATACTTGCAACATCTGCCACATTGCTCCTCTATCCACTCTATCATATGCCTTTTCTAAATCCATAAGTGCAATAAAAACTTCCCTACCTTTATCTAAATACTGTTCACATATATGTTTCAATGTAAACACTTCATCTACACATCCCCTACCCACTCTGAAACCTCCTTGCTCATCCGCAATCCTACATTCTGTCTTACCTCTAATTCTTTCAATTATAACCCTACCGTACACTTTTCCTGGTATACTCAGTAAACTTATTCCTCTATAATTTTTACAGTCTCTTTTGTCCCCTTTCCCTTTATATAAAGGGACTATACATGCTCTCCGCCAATCCCTAGGTACCTTCCCCTCTTTCATACATTTATTAAACAAAAGTACCAACCACTCCAACACTATATCCTCCCCTGCTTTTAACATTTCTGTCATGATCCCATCAGTTCCAGCTGCTTTACCCCCTTTCATTTTACGTAATGCCTCACGTACCTCCCCCACACTTACATTCTGCTCTTCTTCACTCCTAAAAGATGGTATACCTCCCTGACCAGTGCATGAAATTACTGCCTCTGTTTCTTCCTTAACATTTAAAAGTTCCTCAAAATATTCTCGCCATCTACCTAATACCTCCATCTCCCCATCTACTAACTCCCCTACTCTGTTTTTAACTGACAAATCCATACTTTCCCTAGGCTTTCTTAACTTGTTTAACTCACTCCAAAATTTTTTCTTATTTTCATTCAAATTTCTTGACAGTGCCTCTCCCACTCTATCATCTGCTCTCCTTTTGCACTCTCTCCCATCTTTACCTTTCTTTTACTCTCCATATACTCTGCTCTTCTTATAACACTTCTGCTTTGTAAAAACCTCTCATAAGCTACCTTTTTCTCTTTTATCACACCCTGTACTTTATCATTCCACCAATCACTCCTCTTTCCTCATGCCCCCACCCTCCTATAACCACAAACTTCTGCCCCACATTCTAATATTGCATTTTTAAAACTATTCCAACCCTCTTCAACCCCCCCACTACTCATCTTTGCACTAGCCCACCTTTCTGCCAATAGTCGCTTATATCTCACCCGAACTTCCTCCTCCCTTAGTTTATACACTTTCACCTCCCTCTTACTTGTTGTTGCCACTTTCCTCTTTTCCCATCTACCTCTTACTCTAACTGTAGCTACAACTAAATAATGATCTGATAAATCAGTTGCCCCTCTATAAACATGTACATCCTGGAGCCTACCCATCAACCTTTTATCCACCTATACATAATCTAATAAACTACTTTCATTACGTGCTACATCATACCTTGTATATTTATTTATCCTCTTTTTCATAAAATATGTATTATTACCAAATCTCTTTCTACACATAGCTCAATTAAAGGCTCCCCATTTACATTTACCCCTGCCACCCCAAATTTACCTACTACTCCCTCCATAACATTTTTACCCACTTTAGCATTGAAATCCCCAACCACCATTACTCTCACACTCGATTCAAAACTCCCCACGCATTCACTCAACATTTCCCAAAATCTCTCTCTCTCCTCTACACTTCTCTCTTCTCCAGGTGCATACACGCTTACTTATAACCCACTTTTCACATCCAATCTTTATTTTACTCCACATAATCCTTGAATTAATACATTTATAGTCCCTCTTTTCCTGCCATAGCTTATCCTTCAACATTATTGCTACTCCTTCTTTAGCTCTAACTCTATTTGAAACCCCTGACCTAATCCCATTTATTCCTCTCCACTGAAAGTCTCCCACCCCCTTCAGCTTTGTTTCACTTAAAGCCAGGACATCCAGCTTCTTCTCATTCATAACATCCACAATCATCTCTTTCTTTTCATCTGCACAACATCCATGCACATTCAGACTTACCACTTTGACATTTTTCTTCTTCTTATTCTTTTTAGTAATCTTTACTGGAAAAGGGGTTACTAGCCCATTGTTCCCGGCATTTTAGTTGACTTTTACAACACGCATGGCTTACAGAGGAAAGATTCTTATTCCACTTCCCCATGGATATAAAAGGAAAAGTAATAAGACCAAGAACTATTAAGATAAAATCAAAGAAAACTCAGGATGAGTGTGTATAAATAAATGTGTACATGTATGTGTAGTGTGACCTAAGTGTAAGTAGAAGTAGCAAGACATACCTGTAATCTTGCATATTTATGTGACAGACAAAAGACATCAGCAATCCTACCATCATGTAAAACAATCACAGGCTTTCGTTTTACACTCACTTGGCAGGACGGTAGTACCTCCCTGGGTGGTTTGCTGTCTACCAACCTACTACCTAATTCCCATTACTAAATTAACTAATTATAATATTGTTTTATGTTTTGTACTACCTCACTATTATCAATCTAATTAATGTTAATCACTTCAGTTACCTAACTTCTATATCAGTATGCAGTTATGTATATTAAAATGTACTGCTCCATAACCTGTGTCATTATAGAGTAAGAATTAGGATTAGTCTGCCTGAAATGCCTAGGCATGCTAGTGGCTTTCTTTGTAATTAATATTTTATAATATATAAACCACACATTGTAAGCTTTGCAAGGAAATAAGCATTTACATTTTCATTTTCACATGAAGATGACCTCGCTCTCCTGCCTGTATGTCTCGTGTCTCACTTCCCCTGTATCCCTATCTTTCACCCCTGTCATCCTCTTCCCTGCCTCCCCCCCCCCTCTGTCCCATGCCTCTTCCCCTTTTCCTTCTACCTATTTCTTCCCTATTCATCTTCTCTTCTCCCTTCTTCACTGTTTCTCTTTCTTCAGCTCCTTCCTCCCCACCATTCCCTCATTCAGTATCCTTTCTCTTACTCTCCCTCTGTTTGTCAGCCAGTAGAACATATTTTTGATGCTCGTGTAACTCTGTCCAAAATTTCATCTTACTGGAAGACAGTTGGCAGTTGGCAGTATTGATGATGTTGGCACATCCTCTTCCTCCCCCCACCACACACACACTCCTTGCTGTCTATTCTTTCTTCCCCCCCCCCTCCCTGTCTTTTATTTTGCCCCTTCTCTGTCCTCTCTTACCCCCTTTCCTTTTTCTCTTCCTCCTCTCCCTTTTCTCTTTCCATCTCTCCCGGTCCACTCTTCCCCCCACCTTTTCTCTCTCCCCCATCCCTCTCTTCCCCCTCCTCTCACTATGCTCTTTTTTTTCTCATCATCCCTTCTCACATTACCCCCTCCACCTTATAAGTTCTTTCTTCTCTCTCTTACTGTAATGGACCCCTATATAACAGATTTAATGGGCTCTAATTAAGTACCTAATAATATGTTCAAATGTACTGCTCAAATATGACTCGTATCATAATAGCGTAAGAATTAGTAGTATTCTGCCCGAAGTGCCTAGGCATGATAGTGGCCATCTTTGTAATTAAAATCTTATAACATGTAAACCACACATTGTAAGCTTTACAAGGACAAAATATTTGACCAGGCAAAAGCTCAATTCAACAGACTGAATCCACTGTGTTGGGCATTTGTCACTTCGTAGTAGTGTGTCCAGTAGGCTTCCCACCAATGGACCAAGTCCATCATATTGAGCATTTGTCTTGTATACCTGTCCATTTTCATTATTTCCTTTCCTCATTTTCCATCCCCCTTTCACTCTTTCCCCCCCATTTCTCATCTTACCTTCCCTTCCTCATTTTCCATCTTCACTCCCTCCCTTTTCACTCCCATCCTCTCTTATTGCCCTACTAAAGGGTTGCAGCTCAGAGTGACAGATTTCAATACTTGATGTATGATGTAGCATGACAGGGAACATAGCTAATATTTTGTTCCAGCTGTCATGTGGAGTTGAGTAGCATAACACAGTGGTAGGACAATGTAATGGGATCCAAGAGGCAGCAGTAAGTGCTACAACCACTGGAAATTTAAAAAAAAAATTAATGATAAATTAAAAACTGAAGATGAGACACCACAAGCATAGTTGTGCTGTATAAGTCATACAGGTACATTATAGTTTTTGTATCAGGCGAATTTTAGTTGTGGGCAGACCTGAAAATTTGTGTGTGAGGGGGAGGTGGAGATGAGATATGTATTTATAGGAGTTCTGCAAAACTAGAAATTATGGATAATACAAAATTAAGCTTTCATCAGTTTTGTTTCAGATTTATGCTCATCTTGTATTTCAGTGACCATATCTATGTAAGCCACTCTAATCTGGTTAATGTAGACAGTCAAAATCAATAATTACCATTGAGCCAGAAAACAGTTGGATAGTTGAACCTGTCTGCTTGTTGCCCTACAGCAAAAATGTTGGATAATTGAAATCCACAAATACGGAAGGTTGTGAATTTGTAAAGATGGCTGTACACAGTATTATTATTATAATATGTCCTTTCAGAAGAAATAAGTCAATATGTGAACTTCAAACATGTGTTTTATTAAGGCTGATCCAACTTACAGGCAATGTGATTTTTTTTTTTTTTAACCCTTAGTAGCAAATGATGGAAGCTGCTCCCCAGTCCTTGCACCTCAACGACCAGCTCCTCCTCCCCCACTGAAAACATTTGATAACTGTGATGATGGACAAGACTACTACTCACTGCCCCCTGAAGGTAATGTTACATTTGTTTAATTCTTAAGCTAGAAGACATTATTGTCACTAACAGAAATATAATACTGTAAATAATTTTGAGTACAGTAGTTAGTTTTTTTCAGGTTTTAGAAATGATTCCTTCTCCATGAAGTTTATCTCTAGGCAGTGGATACAGTAGAAAAGTTATAAGTGCACTTTCATATGATGGAATATTAAGTGATGTAAAATTGAAGTTTAGTGCAAGTATTGTAAATGTAAATTTGTAAGTTTTCATTATGAAGTTGGTTCAAAGTACTGTTCAGGTTTTTTTTTTTTTTTGGGTCTGTATTTGCATATTATGTAAAAGCCTTAACCCTTTCAGTGTCACGACCCTTACTTGCAAATTTGCTCTCAGGGTCGAAGAATTTTCCAAAAAAAAAAAAAAAAAAAAAAAAAAATCTTATGAAATGAGAGAAGCTTTTACCAAAAGTATGAAATTTCATGGAAAACTTTAAATGTCGTAGTAAATTGCATGTGAGTGGGGTGGTCTAGCCTGGCCTGGCTGGTTACTATACCTCCCACACCTGACTTCTTAAAAATAAATACTACTCACCTCTGACCCTTTATTAAGACTACAAATATCATAAGGTAAGTAATAAGTGTACTGTATGTGTATTTTACTTTTTATTATTTTTAATGCCTAGTTCTATTGCTAACTGAGATTTATTTATTTATTTATTTATTAACACACTGGCCAATTCCCACCAAGGCAGGGTGGCCCAAAAAAGAAAAACTTTCACCATCATTCACTCCATCACTGTCTTGCCAGAAGGGTGTTTTACACTACAGTTTTTAAACTGCAACATTAACACCCCTCCTTCAGAGTGCAGGCACTGTACTTCCCATCTCCAGGACTCAAGTCCGGCCTGCCGGTTTCCCTGAATCCCTTCATAAATGTTACTTTGCTCACATTCCAACAGCACGTCAAGTATTAAAAACCATATGTCTCCATTCACTCCTATCAAACATGCTCACGCATGCCTGCTGGAAGTCCAAGCCCCTTGCACACAAAACCTCCTTTACCCCCTCCCTCCAACCTTTCCTAGGCCGACCCCTACCCCGCCTTCCAATCCGCTACAGACCGATACACTCTTGAAGTCATTCTGTTTCGCTCCATTCTCTCTACATGTCCGAACCACCTTAACAACCCTTCCTCATCCCTCTGGACAACAGTTTTGGCAATCCCGCACCTCCTCCTAACTTCCAAACTACGAATTCTGTGCATTATACTCGCACCACACATTTCCCTCAGACATGACATCTCCACTGCCTCCAGCATTCTCGCTTCAACATAAGTGTAAACTTATCTGGCATTTATATGCACTTATGAGTGGAAAAAATGGGGTTCTGCTTTCTGACGACGTATATCATTTTGTGTAGGTAGAGTTGTGTAGGCTGTGTTATTGAATGTCATTTTGTGTAGGTAGTGTTGTGTAGACTGTTGTGCAGGTAGACCTGTTTAGTGTCTTGAAAGCAGTGTTGTGTGGATAGTGTTAGTCCTGCTAGTATACTGTAGCAGTATACTGACAGGCCTATATCTTCTGACATCAATTACTTTAACCCTTTCAAAGTCCACACCCCTAATCAGGAACTTGTCCACAGGGTCCAAGAATTTAAAAAAAAAAAAAAATTCTTATGAAATGGCAGAGAATCTCTTTCTGAAGGTAAGACAAAAATACAAAATTTAATGGAAAACTGAATAAATTACACTCGCGAATTTTGCTATGTAAGCAATACGTATTTATGCATTGGTGATTTTGCTCAATTTGAGTCCTATTTTAAGCCAATTACATTGTTCCAGTCGACCAAATTCTTAGTTATTTTGCTAGTATTCCTTCATTTTATCCATTACGCACAAGAAACCTCCTAGTCAACTATTTCAACTACCCATTAAAGTGATCAAAAATTGGTAATTTGGCCAATTTCACACAATTTTAAAATATGCCATTTTCAAAATAGGGTACAGAATAAAAAAATCCAGGCATTTCTGGAACTAAACTAATGTTTTCTTTGTTCATTAGTTCTATTTCCAGGCTTTACACATGAATTCTATTTTGAATTTTTATTCACACAAAAAAAAATTTAATTCACAAAAAAAAAAATAGAAGATTTACTGTTACGCATTATTGTAATGATTGCACAGTGGACCCCCGAGTTTCGTAATTAATCCGTTCCAGAGAGCCTGCCGAAAGTCGAAATTCATGAAACTCGAAACCATTTTCCCCATAAGAAATAATGGAAATAAAATTAATCCGTTCCAGACACCCAAAAATATTAAAATAAAATATTTTTTTTCAAATTAAATAAAGATTTATATACTGAAATCAATGAGAAATCAAGTACATGCATATAAAAAATAATATTACACTTACCTTTACTGAAGACTTCTGGGTGGATGGAAGACGGGAGGAGGGGATAGGAGGAAGGTGTACACTATTGTTTGGAAGGAGAATCTCCTTCCTTTAGGACTTTAGGTAGCAAGTCCTTATCTGGGGTTACTTCCCTTCTTCTTTTAATGCCACTGGGAACAACTTGAGAGTCACTAGACCTCTGTCGCACAAAATATCTGTCCAGAGAGGTCTTTTTCTGGCGTTTCTTTAAGATTTTCCTGAAGTGGGACACAACACTGTCATTGTACATGTTGCAGATATGGCTTGTTTCAGCTTGGTCAGGGTGATACTTTTCAACAAAACTTTGCAACTCATTCCACTTGGCACAAATCTCCTTAATCTTTGAAGAAGGCACCTCATCCACTCCCTTTTCCTCCTCCTCTGAAGCAAGTTCCTCGGCTGTGGCCTGATGATGTTCCAGTTGAAGCTCTTGCAGTTCATCAGTGGTTAGCTCTTCCCTGTGGTCCTCCACCAACTCTTCCACATCCCCATCACTCACCTCCAACCCCATGGACTTACCCAATGCCACAACACCTTCCACAACAGGCAGAGGGTTGGCAGGGACAGGGTCTGCCTCAAACCCTTCAAAATCCCTCTGGATCGTGTTCCTCACTTTATTTACCAAAGGGCTTGCACTAGCTTTCCTTGCGTCCATGATGACTTATTTAGCAGTTGCAAGCACAAAAAACAATGGATTATTATGAAATATATTGTATGAACCCGCAGGGTGATGGTCACATGTTGGTAAACAATGGCACACTGAGCGTGAATGTCGTGGGAGACTGGCTTGGTGTGTGCGGTGATGGGCGGACGGGTACTGGACGGTCGCCGAAACACGAGTCTAATCACGAAACTCGAGGCCAAATTTTGCCCAAAAAAACTCGCCGGAGGTCGAATTTCACGAAAGTCGAGGCTGCCGAAACTCGAGGGTCCACTGTTTAAGTAATGTCAGTGCATTCATGAATGCATATTAGACTGACCAGTGGATGAGTATTGGACAAGTTGCTTGATTTGTTTATTCTGGAACATTGGCAAAAATTGAATATTTCCACTATGAGCTCAGTTTCAAGCTCTTTATGTAATATAGGTTCCATTCTATCAAATGAGATCAAGAAACTGAATACAACCATAAAAACCATATGACAATACACCACAAAGTCGCTCTTTTAAATAAAAAAAATTTTTCTCGTGCACTGCGTGCTACAGAAATTTTTATGTGGTGCACACCACATAGACCCATTTTCTCATATATAGGCCCAGATTTACTGTTCACAGCTTAACTGCATGAGCTGAGCCCATGGCTTAGAACTACGGCACTGACACTGGCTTCAAAGCCATAGGACTATGACACCGACCCAGAAAGGGTTAAACTTGTTAAATATTGTATATAGAAGAAAATTTTTTAGTTTATTCTTTTATGCTGTTCCATAATTCTTGCCTCTTATACAGGTCTTCCTCCACATTCACAAGGGTTAGGGGATCAAGAACCTCCCGAATGTTGAAAAATTGCGTATGTTTGGTGCACAAATATATTGTAGGGAAATATAATAATAGCATTTACTTAGCCTACCAATACTGCTTTCTTAACCAATAGAACCATGAACAATCATAAAACACGTGAAAACATTGTAAAATATTGTACTAGTGCCAGCCCTTTGGTAAAGAAGGTGAGAAAGACTATAGAATTCAAGAAAGAACTCATAGCAGAGTACCAAAGTGGAGGAGGAAGAGAGAGGGGAGAATGTGCCTTCTTCAGTGATTCTATGATATGTACGATACTGAAGCAGCATGAGCCGATAAAAGCTATAGCACCAGCCAGCGATAAAGTGTAGCACTAACAGTATAGCAAGTAAGTTAAGCGATTAATCGATAGAAAAAAGACAGCACGAACGTAACTCCTCCAATGTTGTTGGAGTTATATAGGGCGACTGACAACACCACCGCCTCTATTGCCTCTGCTGCTGCCATCACCACCACTATATAAGGCTTATGCTCTCAGTGGCCCTTATACACCCAACAACAACACAACAACACTCGTGACATACTTAATGACATATTTTATTCATTCTAGAATATATATCATGTTTCTTTGTTATTAACCATTTGACTGTCGCAACCCCAAATCCTGAAGGGTCACCTGGTGTTGCAAAATATTTGAAAAAAAAAAAAAAAAAATCTCATGAAATGATAGAGAATCTTTTCCCGATGGTAATTACACCAAAAGTAGGAAATTTGATGGAAAACTTACTGAATTATGCTCTCGCAAAGTTAGCGACCTCAGTGATATTTACAAATTGGCGATTTCGCCCAATTTGAGCCCTATTTTCAGCTAATTCCATTGTTTCAGTCAACTAAACTCATAGCTATTTCCTTAGAACTGCATTTGTTCTATCAACTGAGTACAAGAAACTGCCCATTTACTGTTTCCTACTACCCAATAAAGTGGTCAGAAATTGGCAATTTGGCCAATTTCACAAAAATTTAAAAAATGCCAATTTCAAAATAGGGTCCAGAATGAACACTGCAGACATTCCTGGCTCAAAAATAACATTTTCTTTGTTCATCAGTCATGTCTTCAGGCCCCTCTGATATTACTCTTGCTTTCTATTTTGAATTTTTATTCAAACAAAAAAATAGAAAATTTACTGTTATGCAGACTACTGCATTGTTGTAATAATTGTATAAATGTTAACCCATTCATGACTGCATATTAGCATGGCTAGTTGGACATTTATTGGGCAATGACGTCATTTGTTTACTCTTGAACATCGGCAAAAATCAAATGTTTCTGCTACTTTGAGCTCCATTTCAGGGTCCTTTTCATAGTAAAACCAATCAAAATCATCTCTGTTTCTGTAATATGTTTTCCATTCTATCAAATGAGACCAAAAGAATGAGAATACAACCATAAATACTATATGAAAATACACCTCAACGTCAGCGTTTTAATCCAAAAACACAGAGTTTTTTTTTTCTCATTATGCACTGCGAGCTGCAGGATTTTTTTATACAGAGCACACTGACCACACAGACATGTGGGCCTACCAGCTTTCTCCCGCTTGATTTGAAGCCGCTAGAATTTTTGAGTATATATACGTCAAACACATTGGCTCGTAAGACGTATATATACGATTGAAACAGTTAAAGGGTTAATATTGTTTATTATGTCATATTTGATGAATTGTGATAGATAAATAATCTGTAGAGTTGATAGTGTCATATTGAAGGACTATCTTTTCCTGTCTCAAAACAAATTCTGCCACCACCACAATTCCTAACATACGTAACGTGCAAGAAAGGTATAAAATACCGACAATATGAAAGTTAAGACACGTGCAACATCTGGATATCTTTATTGTAGACGTTTCGCCATCCAGTGGCTTTATCAATACAGATTCTAGAACATAATTAGAAGACAGTAGAACTATATATAAAAGGTGAGGTAATGAGTCCATCAGCCTTGGAGTTAGTGTTCACAGCATCGTGGTGGAGGAGAATCTGGAGCAAAGGCAAGAAGACTGGTGGTTATATAGGCGTCAGTGGATAAGGACGTGTTGCAGACGAGGGCATAGTCACTGGTAGGCGGGATTCCCCAGTGGAAGCAGGTCCTACCCAAAGGGATGGGTTAGTTGTAGCAGCCGTGAAGAAGGTCTAGTAGATGTCCTCTGAACCAAGATTCCATGATTTTGCAGTGTCTGACAAGTTGTGCAAGAAAGGTATAAAATACCAACTATGCCCTTATCTGCTACACATCCTTATCCACTGACTCCTATATAACCGCCAGTCTTCTTGCCTTTGCTCCGGATTCTCCTCTACCACGATGCTGTGAACACTAACTCCAAGGCTGATGGACTGATTACCTCATCTTTTGTATATAGTTCTACTGTCTTCTAATTATGTCCTAGAATCCATATTGATAAAGCCACTGGATGGCGAAACGTCTACAATAAAGATATCCAGATGTTGCACATGTGTCTTAACTTTCATATTGTCAGTATTTTATACCTTTCTCACACAGCTTGTCAGACACTGCAACATCATGGAATCTTGGTTCAGAGGACATCTACTAGACCTTCTTCACGGCTGCTACAACTAACCCATCCCTTTGGGTAGGACCTACTTCCACTGGGGAATCCCGCCTACCAGTGACTATGCCCTTGTCTGCTACACATCCTTGTCCACTGATGCCTATATAACCGCCAGTCTTCTTGCCTTTGCTCCAGATTCTCCTCCACCACGATGCTGTGAACACTAACTCCAAGGCTGATGGACTCATTACCTCATCTTTTATATATAGTTCTACTGTCTTCTAATTATGTTCTAGAATCTGTATTGATAAAGCCACTGGATGGCAAAACGTCTACAATAAAGATATCCAGATGTTGCACATGTCTTAACTTTCAACATACGTAACAACATATTTTAAATATGATTGGGTGGCTGGGCATTCGTGAATGTTCGAAGTCCGCAAAACTGGAACTCACGAATGTGGAGGGAGACCTGTACAGTACACTACTGTATAAACATTTAAAAATATACTAAAAATGTTATAAATGGTGCAAATGTGACATTAAAACAATATCAAAGATGGATGACACAAACCCACTACCATTATATGTAGTATGCTCCTTGCTTAGCAACTATGTAATTCATTTACCACCATGGTCTTAGGAATGGAACTCCATTGTTAAGTTAGAGGTTGTACTGATAAAATTTGATACAAATGCATATTCGTAAAAGAGTCACTTGTTATGCATAGCATTTTGGGGAAACTAATCCTAAAACTTGTATACTACGTGATTCTAGTCCTAACATGTAATTTCAGGCATTGCATATCAGTACAGCATAAGTAATTTATTCCTGTCCAGTATATGATGAGAGATTACAAATGATGAGTTGAACAATTGCAAATAATTTACATGGATTTGCATCATATTCATAATGTGCATTTTATGGAGTGGTTCAATTAAAGTGGTGACTATAAAGCATGAGCATTAACAATCAGTTATGATACATGTAACATTTATGTAAGATTTAATAGGTGCTTTTAAGATAAGATAAGATTTCGTTCGGATTTTTAACCCCGGAGGGTTAGCCACCCAGGATAACCCAAGAAAGTCAGTGCATCATCGAGGACTGTCTAACTTATTTCCATTGGGGTCCTTAATCTTGTCCCCAGGATGCGACCCACACCAGTCGACTAACACCCAGGTACCTATTTGCTGCTAGGTGAACAGGACAACAGGTGTAAGGAAACGTGTCAAATGTTTCCACCCGCCGGGAATCGAACCCGGGCCCTCCGTGTGTGAAGCGGGAGCTTTAGCCACCAGACCACCGGGCCACAATACAATATAATGAACAATATAATGAAGGCTGTTGGCAGATAGAGAACTGTTGCAGATCTTCAGAAAGAATTTAAGATCTAGGTTAATATATTTGTTGAGTGTCCTGTATATATAGCATGTACAGTAGAAAGTGTGAATGTTTTGTATGTTAAGCATATTTAAATTTTTTATAATCAAATGAGCAATTGTAGCTTTCACAAATTTCACAATGCAAAACTGTGTAAAGTAAGGGAAATTTACATGTGATTTTTCTCTTTCTATATCCTAATTCTCTTCAAGGGGGGCTCCTTGGCGTGGTGAAGAGGCTCTTGGTCTGAGGAATTAGACCTGTCAGTCTCCTTCCTCAGACCGAACCTAATTACCCCCCAATCCTCCCTTCCCTATCCCATTCTCCCCATCCTCCCCTTTTTCCTTTCCTCCTTCTCCTCCCCACCCCTCCCTTTTGCCCTTCCTCTTTTTGGCCTTTGGGATTTTTCCCACAGGCACACTAGTTCATAGATAGGGGGAAGGGTACTGGGGTCCATCCCATTCCATTGAGGTTCTTGGCGGTGGCGTAGTTTGCCGTGGGATCTGGATCGTCTTGGGATGTCCCGATCCCTCTCCGGTATCCCAGAGGGTGGCTTTGGGTATATTTCGGGCGACGGGTGTATCTCTGGAAGCCACCTTTCGGATTCCAGGGGTGGTGGCCGAAGGAGGTATGCTTTGTGGTGGATATCCGGCCGCCCTCTCTTTTGTCCACCGAGGTAGCTCGGCAGATGTGAGGTTGCCATCCCGGATTGCTGGTTTACTGGCATGAAGGGTAGGGTATGGCACGGGTTCCATGCTGCATCTGCGCTACTTGTGGTGCTTAGGTCTTCTTGGGCGCGGAGGGAGATTTCTGGCCCTTTCATTCCTCCTAGGAACTATCCCTCCCCGGTCCCCCCTTTTTTTATTTTTATTTTCTTTTCTTTTTTTTTTTCTTAAAAACAAAAAGAAAGAAGTAACCTAACCATGGAGTCCCAAATCCATGACCCCCGCTACCCCCGGGCCCCTTATTGTTACCGCACCCTGTTCTGACCTCGCTTCATCTTTTGGCCACTCTTTGGACACTCCTAAGGCCCCTGTATCTCTTGCTGGTGCTGTTTCCTCACCCGCTTCAGGTACCTTAACCCCTCCTTCCCTTCATCCACCTTCACATTTTACCTTCCCGGTCTCTGTACCTAGGTCTTCCCCTTTCACTGGCTCCGTTACAAGTGTGGAGGTTCATCCTCCTTCTCGTACTGTGCCTTTCTCCCCTGTCCCCTCCCAAGTTTCTTCCTCCTCCCGGGTTTCTGCCTCTTCTGTCCCCTCCCACACTTCTCCAGTTCCCTCCACCCTTTTGCCCCCCCTCCCTACCTTGGTACAGTCCATTACAGCTCTGATCTTTACTCAAACTCCTCCTCCTTCCATCTCCAGTATTGTCTCCCATACGACGTCTCTGAACTCTGAAACACTTGAAGCAATCTCTGAATATATTGCAGAGACCAAACCATCAATGGACACTGATCCACCCTCTGTTCCTTCTCTTTCCTCTTCTCCATCTGCGCAACTCCTTTCTTCACAACGAACCGTTCCTTCGCTACTTGAAAGTTTTCCTTTGCCACCGCATGTGGACTTTTCTAACCCTTCTAGTCCGTGGAATATTCGCGGCCTCGGGTAATTGGGGTGAGCTTCAGATGTTGCTCTCCCAGCTTTCCCCTGTTGGTGTTTGCTTACAGGAACCAAAATTACACTCTGCCATTATCTATCCCATCTCAGGCCATAATTTATTGTATTCTTCAGATCCTTTTCCTGATGGGACCTTTAATGAAATTGCCCTTCTTCTACGCACTGATATTCTGTACCATCGGCTATTTGTTCGTACTTTGCTGCATTACACAGCAGCCCGTATCCACTTGCATAGGTGGTATACACTCTGTTCTTTGTATCTCTCTCCTTCTCGGGCATTATTTATCCCGGATATTGCCTTTCTTGTTTCGTCATTACTGCCACCACTTCTGTTACTTGGCGATTTTAATGGCCATCATTTCCTCTGGGGGGGTCTTACTGTGATTCCCGTGGCATTCAGTTACAGGCTTTTCTTGCTACCCACCCCCTCCATGTTTTAAATGCAGGTACTCGCACCCATTTTGATCCTCAGACTCATACTCTCTCTTGCATCGATCTCTCAGTCTGCTCTTCCTCCGCCGCATTAGACTTCACCTGGTCTGTTCTCCCGGATTTACATGACAGCAATTAAAACCCTTTCTCATCTTTCATGAGGAGCTGATCGTCAAACTCTCCTTCGCCTACATTCCACCCTCATTTTATCGAAACTTGACTATGGTGACCAGATCTATTCAGCTGCCTCTCCTGCTACTCTCTCTAGCCTTAACCTCATCCATCACCAAGGATTACGTTTATGCCTTGGTGCTTTTCGCTCTTCCTCTGTTGAGAGCCTCTATGCAGAAGCGAATGTTCCATCCTTGTCTGATCGCTGTGATGCCCATTGCCTTCGCTACTATGTACGCTCTCACGATCTCCGCAATCCTTCCATTTATAGAATGGTCACTAATATTAGTAGACATTCTTTATTTGTTTGCTGCCCCTGTTTGCTCCGTCCCTTCTCTCTCTGCCTACATTTGCTCTTGTCTTCCCTTCAATTACCACCTTTATATGTTCATGTAGCATCTCACTTTTCCCTACCCCCCTGGGAAGTTCCAGCTGTTCGGGTCTGTTCTTTCTCACTCCCTTACTTGAAAGCCCAACTGCCTACGGTAGCTTCCCGCTCTCTTTTTCTTGACCACTTCCACTCTCATTCATCCCATCGCAGTGTACACTGATGGCTCTAAGTCTTCTGAAGGCGTCAGATTCACAGCAGTGTTTCCGGACAGCATCGTGCGAGGGCATTTACTATCTTCGGCTAGCATTTTTACTGCTGAATTGTGTGCCATTCTTGCAGCACTTATTCATATCGCATCTATGCCTGTGTCATCATTTGTGGTTGTCTCGGACTCCCTTAGTGCTCTACAGGCTATACGGAAATTTGATACACCTCACCCCCTAGTTCTCTCTATCCAACTTTGGCTACACCGTATCTCTACCAAGCATAAAGATATTGTTTTTTGTTTGGTCTCTGGTCATGTTGACGTACAGGGCAATGAACAGGCAGACACTGCTGTGTGGTCAGCAGTACATGACCTACCAATTTCATATAGAGGTGTTCCATTTCCGGACTATTTTGCTATAATAGCTACCCACCTTCACACACGTTGGCAACAACATTGGTCAACTCTACTTGGTAACAAACTTCATTCTATTAAACTGAACATAGGTTGCTGGCTGTCTTCTTGTCATCAGTGCCGAGGTTGGGAAACTACCCTCTCCCGCCTTCGCATTGGCCATGGCACCCTGTTCCTCTCTGTGAGAAGTGTCAAGTTCCAGTATCGATTAGCCACATTCTGTTAGACTGCCCTCTCTATCAACAAGCACGCAGAATTTACCTCCAACGTCGTCTCCACTCTACTACTCTCTCTTTACCTTCCCTTCTTGCTGATGGACCCTCCTTTAATCCTGACTCTCTCATTGACTTCTTAACAATGACTGATTTACTCCACAAACTCTGATGATGATACCTTTCACACTCCCCTCAGCCCTTTCTACCTCAATCTCTTGCTGCCCTCTACCCTTTCACCATCCACTGCCCCGCTGTTCTCCGTAACCTATTACTCATCCATATCCCTTTTACTACCTAATACCCTCGCTTCCTTCCTGCCCTGCAGCGCTGTATAGCCCTTGTGGTTTAGCGCTTCCTTTTTATTATAATAATAATTCCTCAACCTGAATTCAGCGACACCATCATTACGCAATATGCTGACAACATTATCAATGTAGTTTCATCTACCCCCTCATCTGGGCAAAAGAGGCATAGAAAGGTAATAGGAAAAATGAATACTGAATTGCAAAGAACAGCCAACTGGGAGAAGAAATGGAGAATAAAGACCAATCCTGACAAGGTCCTCATAAGTACCCTCTGATGTTTTACCCCAACAATTGAAAACAATGGGGTATCTCCATCAGAGGTACACCCATCACCGTCAGAAACCTGAACAAGATCCTGGGCTATGAGATCAACACTTACTCCACTCCACATCACCAAAAAGGTAAACTTAGCAAAAGTTCACCTCAGTCAACTATGCAGGTTTAGTCAAGCCCCACCCATATCAAGAAGCACCTATATAAGATGACGATAAGACCTGTGCTTGAACATTCCAGTGTGCCCATGTCATTAATGACAAAAAAACATGTTATATCTACAAAGTTCAGAACAAGGCACTCTGCTTTATCATGGGCACCAGACTGAGGGACAAAAGATCTGCACACCCAACAGAAGCAATGTCAGGCTAGACTAGCGTTTCTCAACCGGGGTTCCCCGGAACCCTAGGAGTCCACAAGAGGTTGCTATGGGTTCCAAGAGAAATAGTGATAAATAGGCTAATCATATGTAAATAGCTTCAGCCTGTTATATCATTTAAAAGTATAGTAATCATAGGGAATATATTTAGCAAGTCTATACGGCACCAGTGTGAAACCACTTTTAGTGGTCAGCAGACAGAAGCTGTACATAATGGATTTGTGTATCATTAAGTGACTCAAGTACAGGACACATGCATCATCTCCATCAGTTCTGTCTGTGTTTCCTGGCATTATATATGATATATATATTTTTTTTTTTTTTTACAGAGAAAAGCTTTACTTTTTTTTTTTTCTTTTTTTTTTTTTCTTAACCCTTAAACTGTCCAAATGTAGATCTACGTTTTTTCAACATTTGAAAGTACAGTGGTCCCCCGCTTTTCGTAGTTCCCGGCAATCGTAAATTTCGCCAGTCATAGGGGTATTTTCGTATAAACATGGACTCGCTTTCCATAGGTTGACTCGCGAGTCGTAGTTAGTCCGGGATGCGTACCCACGGCGTGAGCCGGGGCGGCAGACAGTCTGGCATTGTTTACCAGTGAGCAAAGGTCCCTTCATGTGCTCCAGCGAAATATTTCATAATATTCCATTTATTTTAGTGCTTGCAAGTAATAAATAAGCTACCATGGCTCCAAAGAAAGCTCCTAGTGCCAAGCCTGTGGTAAGAAAGGTGAGAAATACGATTGAATTTAAGAAAAACATCATTGAACAATAAGAAAGTGGTACAAGTGTGGCCGAACTGTCCAGGATGTATAAGAAACCCTACACAACCTTATGTTCCATAGTGGCCAGAAAAAGGAAATCAAGGATGCTGTTGTTGCAAAGGGGGAAAACTATGCTGACAAAAATGAGATCACCAGTACGCGAAGAGATTGAGAAGTTATTTTTGGTGTGGATAAATAAGAAAAAATTAGCAGGAGTCCTCTTATGACTTTGATTATTTGTGAAAGCTAGGCAGTTGCATGAAGATTTTTCTGGTAAGAAATTGCTACAAATAGTGGTGATGTGGGTTGAATTTAAGGCAGCAAGGCTGGTTTGAGAGATTAGAACCGTACTGGCATACACAGTGTGGTTAGGCATGTTGAGGCTGCAGCTCGGACCACAGGCGGCTGAAAAATTATGTGCATGAATCCAGGAGTACATAGAGGCGAAGGACGAAACCTGGAACAATTGTTTCATTGTGAGAAACAGGCCTCTTTTGGAAGGAATGCCAAAGAGGACTTCATTACTCTAACGCTGAACGCGCCACAAGTCTACTCGACTCACAAGCCTAGAAGCCCAAAGCCTTTCGCTCCTGTTCTGTGCTAATGCTAGTGGGCGATTACAAAGTGAACGCACTTACTAGTCCGTCACCACTTGTCTGAACTCCTGTACCGTGCTCGTAATGTGCGTTCTATCTGTGTGAAAATCATCCAGTTTATAGCGTCAGCCAGCTATAAATTGGGCTGAGACGTGGCTATCTAGCGCGATACAACTCGATCATAGTAAGGCCTGGGTCCTCACGACCGCCGGAAATTTTCGTGTGAGGGTTCAATGAAGTGTTTCGGCCCTAGTGTGAAGGAGTTATTTCCTGGAAAATGAAAAGGAAATAGGATCGCAAGTGCCTGTTAGTAATGGTCACTGCACCTGCTCATTACACCAACTTGGATGACCTAATTTTCGAGGAGTTTGGGTTCTTCACCAGGAAGTTCTTTCCCCCGAACTTACACTCTTCTCCAGCCCATGGACCAGAGGTCATTGCAAACTTTAAAAAAACTCTACACAAAAGCAGTGTTTCCACAGGTGCTTGACTGTGACACAGACATCACTTGACCCTAAGGGAATTTTGGAGAGAGAACACCTCAGCATCCTCCCAATGCATAACCCTTATAGGTATGTTGGGGTGGGAGTGACTTCAGGACTTGAATCTGCTGGAGAAAAATTGTGGCAAGATTGTGTCGAAGAGGGATTGTGAAGGGTTGGATGACCCTAATGAGCTATGTCTGTTGTAAAATTCAATTGTGGCACTGGGGAGTTCAATGGGGTGGATGTGCGTTTGGAGGATGTGGAAGAATTGTGGAAGCCACAACGAGAGATCACCATGAGGAGCTGCAGAGCTTCAGCAGGAGAGCATACACATCGCAGCTCAGAATCTTGCTGCGAGGAGGAGGAGGAAGAGAGCTGGAAGATGGGTGCCTTCTCAGAAATTAAAGAGATTTTTACTATGTGGGTAAAGATTGAAAGCTCTATGGAGAAACTCACCCTAAACAAGTTGTGTTGAAGCCAGGTTGGCACATGTACTGTGACAATGTCTCTGGGCCATTTTTAGGAAGTGTTAATGAGACGCCAGAACTTTCTATTTAACAAAACAGGGCTCTCTCCACAGTTATTTTGCGAGACAGGGATCCATGGACTCTCAAGGTGGGTCCTTGGGGGCATAGAAACAGAGAAGCGAAGAACCAGAAAAGCAATTGGTACCCCCCCCTGTGGTGTTGCTAGAAGGGGATTCCCGATTCCAAACTATAAACATCACTCTCTCTCCGCTCAGTCTCCCATACACTAGAAGTAACTCCAATAAAGGTAAGTGTTTTGCTGTTTTATGTTTCATTCATTCATTGCCCATTGTATTGTTTTATGTTACTACATGTATATTTTCATGTAAATTTTTTTTTGTTTAATACTTCTGGGTGTCAGGAAAGGTTTATATTGTATTTACATTAATTCTATGAGGGAAAAATTGATCGTAAATCGTAAAATTTCGTTTATAGTAACGAATCAGGAACGGATTAATTAACGAACAAAGAAGGGACCACAGTATGTAAAAAAAAGCTTTTTTACATTTGAAACGTATAAAAAAAAATTTTGTCCGTTTTTTTTTTTGTTACATTTTGAAAAATATGTAAAAAAAGTAGATCTACTTTTGGAGCACTACGCATGTGAAACGTAGATCTGTTTGGCAGTTTAACCCCTTCTGGGTCCAAGGCCAAAATGTGAAGTGGGTGGCCCCAGTGTCTCAAGAATTTAAAAAAAAAAAAAAATTAGTTATGTTTTCTTATGAAATGCTTGAGAATCTTTTTGTGAAGGTAATAAACAAAAAGTATGAAATTTGATGGAATATTGACGAATTATGCTCTCGCGACTTTTGATTGTGTCAGCGATATTTACGACATCGGCATTTTGCCGACTTTGACTCCATTTTAGGCAATTTTACATTATTCCAGTCGACCATATTCTTAGCTATTTCATAGTATTACTTCTATTCTATCGATTGAGCACAAGAATTCGCCAAGTCAACTGTTCAATACAAACTACGTGGATCGGAAGTGGTAATTTGGCCAATTTAACACAAGTTCAAATATTCCAATTTCAAAATAGGGGCCAGAATAAACAATGTAGGTATTTCCTGGCACTAAACTACCATTTCCTCTGTTCATTAGTTACGTTTTGAGGCTTTACAAATAGATTCCATTTTGATTTTTTATTCACATAAAGAATTTTTATTCACACCAAAAAATAGAAGATTTAATGTTATGCATATTGCGTAATTTATTAATATCATCACCACATTTGTGAATGTATATTATACCCACAAGCTGGTGTGTATTTAGACATGTGGAGGTCGTTTGTTGTACTCTTGAACATCAGCAAATATTTAACATTTTGCTACTTTGAACTCAGTTTCAAGCCATTTCCGTGCTAAAAACCAATCAAAATCATCGCTATTTCTTGTATATGTCTTCCATTCTATTCAAATGAGACCAAGAAATCGCGAATACAACTATAAAAAACATCTGAAAAACACTGCAAAGTTGCAGTTTTAATCGAAAATCATGGTCTTGTTTTTTTCTCTCTTTATACACAGTGGGTTGCAGGATTTGTTTTATTGTGGTGCACACATACCACACTTAGATGGATTCTCTCATAACTAGGCCCAATGTTACCACTCACAGTTTTCAGAGTGAGCTGAGCTCATGACGTAGATCTGGGGTTGGACCCTGAACGTAAGCGTAGATCTACGGTTTGGACCCTTGAAAAGGGATAAGGGTTAAATCGTTATCAGAAAAATAATTATATTTTCCTTTATGAACCTTAAGTGGATGAAAGAGATAGAAAGACGCAAATAATGATCAATAACAAACTGTGGTAGCCGGAGGATTAAACCCCGTGTTGTTTTAGCCCACCCATGGGAGTGAAAATTCAAACGTTAAACCATGGCCCATACAATATACAAACAATTTGGCTAGCAAAACTAGGCTTGTTCATTTGGGAAGGACTGCAAGGTGGGGTTGCCTCAGTTAATTTATTTACTCCTTTTGGGTTTGTACTAGCCTCCACAAGTGTTCACTTTTTATTGTAACCATGAAAAAGTAGTATTTAACCAGAACAACACTGCAGAGCCGGGTATCGAATCTGTGTTGTTTTAGCCCGCCTCATGGGGGTTTCGATCCTTGGCTAGCTGCGTGTTGTTATTAATCCATTGTTTTTGGGTTACAAAAAATAATGATTTTAATATTTATTGTAGGGGGATGCTGAGCTAAAAATTTTTTTCAAGGGCCCCGGGTAAAAAGGTTGAGAAATGGGGATAGCAATTAAAGAAGAGGATTTATATGCTATGAAAAAAAAAAAAAAAAAAACTATACCAGACAAAGAAAACCTCCCCAACCAACTAACGCTACTGACTTCATCAGCGCCTCCCCAAAGGAGTCTTAGAATGTCCCCAACAAAGGCCCAATTTTTTTCATTCAAAGGAGGTTCTAAAGCCTGGTGCCCCCCCTGAAGATATAGAAAAATGAATACAACGGTAATTTTGTGTTCAAAATAGTAAAACTGCCTTACGGAGTTTAAACCAAACCCAAAGCAAACAAAGAAATGTTTTAAAAACCCCTATGGCGGGACCCCACTTGGAAATAATTGAGCTGACCCCCCGAGCCCTGTAACCAGCCTT